TTTTTATTTATTTTTGGGACAGAGAGAGACAGAGCATGAACGGGGGAGGGGCAGAGAGAGAGGGAGACACAGAATCGGAAACAGGCTCCAGGCTCTGAGCCATCAGCCCAGAGCCTGACGCGGGGCTCGAACTCACGGACCGTGAGATCGTGACCTGGCTGAAGTCGGACACTTAACCGACTGCGCCACCCAGGCGCCCCGTGTGCCACCCAGGCGCCCCCTGGCAGCCTTTTAAAGGTTAAGCTGACGTGGTTTTGGAAGCGATGCTTTTGAATGCCACAGAGGTGCTGCTGTCCACTTAAATGGAACTCCACTGAGAGATAGCTGTGAGCGCATGGACCCTTCTATCCACCGTGCAAAATCCCCTTGGCCGGAGTACGCTGCACACACAGCGGGGCAAATCTCTTCCTCGGCTCCTACTGGCCACTCTTTGTGTGCAGCCCTTGGCCGGTCTCCTGCACCTTCTCACTGGGCTGCATGAAATTCACGTTCTTTCCAGCCCATGTCAAGTGTAATGAGCACGGCTTGGCCTCCCCACAGTTCTCCTTTATCACTGTTTCTGCTCTCAGTCTGTGAGGTCTGAGTGTCTCCTATCAGTGTTTGCTTTCAGGTTCCTTCTGGCAAACCTGAAACACAGATGTGTCTCAGTATGAACTTGAACCTGAACCGGCTGAAGAAGTTCTCAGTGGTCCCCTGCCGCCCCCTGCCGCCCCCTGCCTCGGGAATGGCTCATCTGTGGGAAGTTGCCAAGGTAGATCGGGTTTCCTTCGGCCACACCCGGGAGGAAATTGGTTCCCTCTGTGGCTTTGCCACTGCTTCTGATGTGTGGATGGAAGAAGTGGCCAAAGGGACACAATTGGGAGTCTGTGCTGGGCTGGGGCACCTGAGAGGTCTGGGGGGCACAGCCCTGAGGCCTGACTGGGCCGTGAAACTTGGGTCCCTGCGGGTGCGGCCTTGTTGGGAGACTGGGGTGCAGAGGTGGAGTGTGGAGGGGAGCACAGGCTGTGGAAGCCCCAGACTCTGGCGGGGTGAGGCTGTCTCTGCCCTTCTGCATGGAGGTCTGGCCGAGGCCAGCCTCCTCCCAAAGCAGGGAATTCAGAAGTTGATTTGTGCTGGTGGAGGGGCCACTGCTTCTGAAGGTGAGGGTGGTCTCTTCCTCTCCAGGCAGGGTGGGGGACTGGTGGAACTTCTACCCTGACACCTGACCATTGTCAGGTGGCCCATGTTCTGTGTTGCTCCGCTGAGCGCTCTTAGAGCAGGAATCAGAGGTGAGAACAGCCAGCTCACGGCTACCTTGCTCCGTGTTGCAGACTCCACGCTGTACCTGGTGAGACAAGAAAAGCATGCTGCTGTTGGTTAGCTCAGCCGAAGCCTGGGGTTTCTGGGCCACGACATGGCCCTCCAGCTCGGCTCCCTCGTAACTCAGGAGCAAACAGGAGGTCATTGCTTCCTTGTGCTTACGGCCCATCAACGAGTCTTGATCTCTTCCCTGTGTGACTCCCGGGCACGATCAACTCAACCAGGCTTCCGTGTAGTCAGGGAGTGGCTCCACATAAGGGTTTTTTAGTTCATCTCCATGACCTGTATTCATCCATAGATCTTGGGCTCTAAAGTGCTCTCTTGCTGAGACTGACAATGAGAGATTTCTTGAGCAGTTTTTCACATTTCCTGCATATGTAAAAGGGGATATGGTATATTCCACTGAGTACTCCTTGGAGGCAGGGGTCCGCTGACCAGTGTCTACAGAACACCCTCAGATTCCACACACCCACCACGGTTCCATCTTATCTGACCCTGGAGGGGTTCCGGGGCAGCACGGAGAGGGGGCTGCCAAAGGAGGCACCCAGCTTGTTGCCAAAGGTGAATTGTGACTGAAGCCAAAATCTTCAAACTTACCATGTCAGCATCCAAGAACATGCCTTTAAATCTACGGACAACACACTCCTGGTGACCATACCCCACAGACATCATCTGATGGAATTTGCCTGTGGCCTTCTTTTCTTGCAGACTGCCGTGAGCCAGTAGGAACTCAAGTTCCTCTCTTTCAGTAGAGTATTCCAGGACAAGGCAGAGTCTGGATCACTTCAAATAATTGTTTTGGGATGGTTCACGGCCTTCCTGATTCTTATTCACAGGATAGTCTCTTGAGTTTGGAGGAGTTCTGCTAAGTCTTTTCAATGATTTTAATGACCACCTCTTTCCTAAGGCAGGATGCGTCGAGCCAACTTCAGCTTGGCCAAGTTAACCCTTGATGATGGTCTTGAGAGCTGGTGGCTGGCCATATGGACCCTCATCAGCAGAGACAGCAGAGAGGCCCGGGGGCATGTTGGACTTACTGTTGACTTTGGAGTCAAGGTATCCCAAGGCCAACTTAAAATTGGGAGAAGTTGGTGAGAAGCTTGGCCCACGTCACCTCAAAAGAAAATTCCAGAGTCCACCTGATCAGCTGATCTTTGTAATGGAATCAAAACACAATGCTAGATGAGCATAGAAATAAACAAAACTGAACACTAACTAAATAAAAGGAAAAGATGAGAAAAAAATTAAAAGGAAGAAATGAGAAAAAAGTAAAGAAAAAAATGAAAATGAGATAAAAAAAGGAATAGTAAAGAAAAATGAGTGAAAAAATAGTATTTAGAGTGGCATTAAGTACATTCATAATGCTGTGTTAACCATCGCCAGTATTTCCAATATTTTTTCATCCTCCTAAATAGAAACTCTGTGCCCATTAAACACCTTCTCCCCTTCCCCCCAGCCTTGGTAACCTCTCTTCTACCTTTTAATCTATGAATTTACCTAGTCTGGGGACTTTATACAGCATGATTGCACAATGTTTGTCCCTTTGCAACTGGCTTATTTCACTTAGCATAATGTTTTTCAAGTTCATCCATGTTGTAGCAGGTGTCAGTATTTTATTCCTTTTTATGGCTGAATAATATTCCATTGTATGTAAATAGGACATTCACTCATTCGTTGATGGACATCTAAATTGTTTCTACCTTTTGGCTCTTGTGGATAAAGCAACTATGGCCATTGTCATACTAGTATCTGTTCAGTCCCTGCTTTCAATTCTTTTGGGTATATCGTAGGAGTGGAATTGCTGGGTTATATCATCATTCTATGTTTTAACTTTTAGAGGAATTGACAAACTGTATTCCACAGCAGCTGCATCATTTTACATTCCAACCGGTGATGTAGTAGGGTTCAGATTTCACAGTATCCCTCACCAACACTGGTTATTTTCTGCTTTTTTTTTTTTAATGTTTATTTTATTTTATTTCTTGAGAGAAAGAGTGCAACCCAGGCAGGGGCAGAGAGAGACGGAGACACAGAATCCAAAGGAGGGTCCAGGCTGTGAGCTGTCTGCACAGAGCCCAAAATGGGACTTGAACCCATGAACCATGGGATCATGACTTGAGCCAAAGTTGGATGCCTAACCGACAGAGCCAACCAAGCGCCCCTCTGTTGCTTTAATAATAGCCACCCTTTGGGGCGCCTGGGTGGCGCAGTCGGTTAAGCGTCCGACTTCAGCCAGGTCACGATCTCGCGGTCGGTGAGTTCGAGCCCCGCGTCGGGCTCTGGGCTGATGGCTCGGAGCCTGGAGCCTGTTTCCGATTCTGTGTCTCCCTCTCTCTCTGCCCCTCCCCCGTTCATGCTCTGTCTCTCTCTGTCCCAAAAATAAATAAAAAACGTTGAAAAAAAAATTAAAAAAAAAAAAAATAATAGCCACCCTCATGGATGTGAAGTGGTATCTCATCATGGTTTTGATTTGCATTACCCTAATGATTAAGGATGTTGAGCATCTTTTTATGTGCTTATCAGACATTAGTATATCTTCCTTGGAGAAATATCTTTTTCAAGTCCTTTGCCCATTTTTGAGTTGGCTTTTTGGGAGACTAACAACCCCAAGATCAAGAGTTGCATGCTCTACCAACTGAGCAAGCCAGGGGCCCCATGGTTTTTTGTTTGTTTTTGCTTTTTGTGATTGAGTTGTTGTTCTTTATATATTCTGAATATTAGTCCCTTATCAGATATAATTTGCAAAAATATCTTCCCCTGTGGCTTTTCACTCTCTTGATGGTGTCTTTCGATGCACAACATTAATTCTGATGAAGAACCAATTTATCTATTTTTTTCTTTTGTTGCCTGTGCTTTTGTTGTCAGATACAAGATATCACTGCCAAATGCAGTGTCACAGAGATTTTCCCCTATGTTTTATGAGTTTTATGGTTTTGGCTCATAAGTTTGGATCTTTGATCCACTTTGAGTTTCATTTTTCATGGGGTGTAAGTAAGGGTCCAACTTCATTCATATGCATGTGGATATCCAGTTTTCCCAGCACTGTTTGTTGAAAAAACAGCTCTTTCCCCATTAAAGGGTCTTGGCCTCCTTGTCACAAGTTAATTGACCATTTATGTGAGAGTTATTTCTGGGCTCTCTGTTCCATTGATGTATAAGTCTGTCTTTATACCAACACCACACTGTTTTGATTACTGTAGTTTTGTAGTTCGTTGTTAATATCTGAAAGTGTGAGCCCTCCAATTTTGTTCTTCATTTCCCAAGATTGCTTTGGCTGTTCAGGGGTTCTGTGAGATCTGATATGAATTTTAGGATTAAAAAAAAATTTTTTTTAATATTTATTTATTTTTGAGAGAGAGAGAGAGCATGAGCAGGGGAGGGGCAGAGAGAGAGGGAGACACAGAATCCAAAGCAGGCTCCAGGCTCTGAGCTGTAAGCACAGAGCCCAACGCGGGACTCAAACTGATGAACCATGAGATCGTGACCTGAGCTGAAGTCAGATGCTTAACAGACTGAGCCACTCAGGCGCCCCTAGGATTTTTTTAAATTCAACAAAAACGCCCATTGGGATTTTGATAGGGATTGCAATGACTCTTTAGGTCACTTTGCGTAGTATTTATCTTAATTGTGGCTGAGCATTTAATCTGGAAGACAAACCACAGACACAAACCTAATGCCTGATTCCTGCCACCAGAGATTATGTTAAAGGCTGTGGGATGCAAGCACCAGGAGTGACACAGCAGGGCTGAGATCTATTGTCTGAAGCAAAACGGTAACTCTTTTATTTTTATTATATTTTAAAATGTTTTTTTAATTTTTGAGAGAGAGCACGTAAGCAGGGGAGGGGCAGAGAGAGAGGGGGACGGAGGCGCAAGATTATGACCTGAGCCAAAGTCGGATGCTCACCCAACTGAGCCACTCAGGCGCCTGCTAACTCTCCTTTTAGAATAGCCTCTGCATAGTGTATGTGGTGGTCCAGGATTATTCAGGTCCTATTGACCTGTTCAACCTCATCTTTCACTGCTCTCCTTCCTCACATGCACATCCCACCCCCAGCTATCCAGGCCCATGGCTAGCTACCACCCCACTGTCTGGAATGCTCTTTCCCATCTTCTTAACTGGCCAGGCCCTCTTTCAAGACTCGCACCTCCTCCTCCAGGAAGCCTTCAGGGTAAGAATTATCTTTAGCGTGGGCTACAAGCCTAGAGCCACTTCTCTCCTCTCCTGTCATTCTCACCTTCCTTCCGAGGGCTCCCCCTGCTGCTTGGGTCTCTTTCCCCATTCTAACAGGTCAAGCACACTCCTGCCTCAGGGCCTTAACCTTCCCCCACTCTTCCCCGGCTCAGTCCTCCACTTCCTCCAGGTCTTGGTTGAACAGGCACCTCTCTGTGAGGCCTTTTAGCACCCAGCCCAGCTGAGACACAGAGAGAGAGGGAGACACAGAATCTGAAGCCAGCTCCAGGCTCCCAGCTGTCAGCACAGAGCCCGACGTGGGGCTCGAACTCACGAACCATGAGATCATGACCTGAGCCGAAGCCAGACGCTTAACCACTGAGCCACCCAGGCACCCCAATATAAATGTCTACTTTAAAAAAGTCTAAAATTATAGGTTTATGTTTATGTATATCTATGGTACATTGTGAATAGTTACCTGTAGCTTATTTTGTATCATACAGACACTTTATTTCCAAAATTACTGGTGCTGGCTCTTTAGGACCTATAGAAAATCTAAAGCCTAGATTCCTATCACATTAGGCCTCTGCCCTTAAAAAGAAAACAAAACAAGGGTACCTGGCTGGCTCAGTCAGTAGAGCGTGTGACTCTAGATCTTGGGGTTGTGAGTTTGAGCTCCACATTGGGTGCAGAGGTTAGTTTAAAAAAAAAAAAGAAAACCTCAAAAAATAAACAAAACAAAACTCTAATAAATAGAATCTATTAAAAAAAAAAAAAAAGAACATCCCCAGACAGCTCTTTGACCATTTAAGATCTTTCAAATATCTCTTTTTGAATAGGACAGCTCTCCTCCAAGGCCCCCTGACAACCTTGCATGTCTCCATCTAGCCATGTAGGCAAGGCTTGACTGCAGGGGCAGAATGCCTGAGAACCCTTCTGCAGCGAGGGTCCCTATCTTGTGGAAGACTCCCACAAAGGTGTTTCTCTTCGGGGTGCCTGGGTGGCTCTGCTGGTTAAATGTATGACTTCAGTTCAGGTCATGATCTCATGGATCATGAGTTTGAGCCCTGCATCAGGGTCTGTGCTGACAGCTCAGAGCCTGGAGCCTGCTTCGGACTCTGTCTCCCTCTCTCTCTGCCCCTCCCCAACTCTCTCTCTCAAAAATAAACATTAAAAAAATTTTTAAAAAAGGTGTTTCTCTTCCACATCCCCAGTTTTAGTGGAGACTAATGCTTTTCACCTTGCCCCCTGCCCTCTCTGCTCGCCACCTTAGGGTATATATAGCTGCAGGTTTCTGTGTAAGTCTATGAAACTGCTCAGCTGAAGTTTAAAGCTGGCTTGTCAATGCAGTGACCCCATCACTCATGACACCTATGGTTAGTGATCTCTGGGACTAGGGATGTCCCATGGGCCTAGGGAGGCAGGGAACTGATAAACATGCTGATCTTGCTTTTGCTGTCTCAGAAGTATAATAAATGGCCTACATCCAATTAGATTCTTTTTCTCCTTACTGGCCTTATCTATGGATGTGTGGCACGTCACCATGCTGTTGCTTAGAGATCGCTTAACGGCTTGAAATGTCTCACGTTTAGGTTGCATCTACAGATACTTAATGACATGACTTATCACCAAGGCCCTTAAACCACCCTTACATCACGACAAGCATATAAATCTACCAATAGTCCAATTCTGGAATTAATGTAAAAAGTAAACTTCATTATTCAAAGACCAAATTGAGGCTTTACAGGGCAAAATAACTGAATGGCTGTCATTACAAGGTTATATATACAGGGGCGCCTGGATGGCTCAGTCCCTTAAGCATCTGACTTCAGCTCAGGTCATGATCTCACAGTTTATGGGTTCAAGCTCCTTGACCGGCTCTATGCTGACAGCTCAGAGCCTGGAGCCTGCTCTGGATTCTGTGTCTCCCTCCCTGTCTGCCCCTCCCCCACTCACACTCTGTATCTCTCTCTCTCTCTCTCTCTCTCAAAAATAAACATTTAAAAAAAGGTTCTATATACATATGTACATATATATACATATACACCACGTGAGTTAAAGTGATAATTTGAAGACTATGTGAGAAACATTGAAAAAAGTTATATGGAAAGAAAATCAGAATACAAAATTTAATCTGTTATCATTTACAATTTAAATACATACACAAATGTGAAACCAATCAGAAAGGAACACTGAAAGGAAATGTGTTTTGAAGTAATTGGGTCACGGGAGAAGTGTTTGGTTTTTTTCTTGCAATGTTTGTGTGATCCAACTTCTTTGAAGTGTGGTTATTCATTTTAGCAAAATTCTTGTGGCAATTATATTGGCAGTCTCAAAATAAAACACATGCACTAAAATCATAGAGGCTACTGTTAATTTTTATTAACTCTTAATTCAGATTGTTCCTAGATTTATCACAGTTACACTTATCCAGCACTTTTTCTGTGCCACTGTGCTAATCATCTTACAGAGATGATCTCTTCTAATAAGCACAACAGGTACTATTTTTATCACTTCATGGAGAGGGCTAATTAGCTTGCTTTAGGAGTCAGATACTTGGCCAGGGATGGAGTTAGGATTTCAATCCAGGCAGCCTGGCCCCAGAGCCATGGGGTGTAAATGGTAGGTAATACTCACAGAGGGAATGCAAACTGAGAAGATGCTACAAATCTAACTACACAGTCTGGAACCTTAGGGGAACAAAAATTTATTCACATTTCCTTCCCATCACTCTAGCATTTCAATTAGGTATGTGCGTCTGCATTTCTGTTACAGCTTAAAAGCTAGAGATCTAAGACTACTTTAAAACTGAATGTTGGCAGTTCATCACGAACCAATAAGATTCATTTTGTGAAACAAAAGCCTGTTGTTACACTCAAACTCATTGTAACTTCATTCTTCTTAATCTTTTCAATTGTGATTTAAAAAAAAAAAATCAAACTGTACTTTAACCCTGTGTAACCTGCAATAATTTTTGACCCAAGGGAACAGTTTTTTGTTTTGTTTACTTTATCGCCAGTTGGGCGCTATGTAGGTAACAAAAACTGAAAATACAGGAAATAGATCCAAAAAATGGAAAACAAAACGAGCAGCGAAGAGATTGAGGACGGAAAATTTTTGAGAAAGATGGAGAGAGGAAAAGTAAAGTGGGGGAGGGGCGCTAAATTGGGCTGGAAAAGAGAAAGGAATGGGGTGGGGAGGGAGCAGGCTCTTTAAGTCAGAAGCAACCTACTTTCTTCTAAGTTCTCGCCACAGCTAAATCAACAGGTTCAGAGGCCTGACCTTGCAAACGTCCTTCAGCTGTTTTGCGGCTGTCCGTGCCTTCCTAGCGACTCCATTCATAACCGTTAGTTTCCACTGGTCGGAGTTGCTACGGCGGACATTTGGAGGACTTTTCTGAGCCGCTGTCGCAGAACGCAAAGTCTTCTTTACTCTCTCCTTTCAGGAGGCTCATGATCGCCTACATTGTTGCCTGTAAGCACTTTTTTTTTTTAAATCGCAAACCACCCCTCATCCCCCGTTTATCTTGATTTTCCTGGTACTGGGGATACGACGGAGATGGGGGCACTGGGACAAGGACTAGGGTTTTGCGTCCCCTTAGGCAAGCCAAATACAGAAAAGCGGGAAGAGAGACAGAGCCAACACCGCCAAGCGCTGAAAGGTAGAAACTGGATTAGAAGGGTGTGGGCGACAAGTGAAAACCCAGCCCTCCCGCGACTACCGTAGAAGAGCCCCCAGACCTAGCCTCGGAGACGGTGAGCGGCGGGTTACCACGGCAACCGTGATGTCTCGCGAGACAGACATTGCGCCTGCGCACTGACGCGATAGGACGCGGTCCTGAGCCTCCCAACCCCGCTCCCAACCAAACTCAGGCTTTTTGCAAGTTGCTGCCTCGAGACGCTGTGGGCAGACTCTCTCCCCGGTGAGTGTCAAGGCGGGATGACGAGATGGGAAGCTCTCTGAGCGTTTGGAAGGCGGAGCCGGGTAGGGCGAGGGCTCTGCGCACGCGCGTCGCGGCGCACGTGGGCGCCGTGGGGTCGCGGTCGTTAGTGGAAGTCGGATCAGGGGGACGCGGAGGACGGGAGGGGCGCGTCGGGTGGGATCGAGCCCGGGACGCCGCGGAGGGCGGAGGCCTGGGGGCGGTGGGCTCGCGAGCTCCCCAGGTCTTCCCCGGGAACCCCGTCTCCTGGGCCGCACCCCCCTCGCCCGGACCTGCGTACTTTCCTGCCTCCGGCCCTCGGTTTACTCCCCTCTGTCCTCCTGGAGTTAAGTGTCTGTAGGTACGAGAAATAGTAAGACATAGTCCACCCTGGTCCTTCAGTGCTCCGCTGCCTAGAAGCGGGGACGGACCACAAGGTAACTACAGTTCGGTATGGTAAGTAGTGAGGAACGAGGGTACTAAATACGGGGGGGAGGGGGGGGCATGCACGGGGAAGGGGTGACTCCGGGACAGGAATGCAGCCCCCGGGAACTGAGGCTGTCCTCCCCTCTGCTACCGGATCCTGAGACCGGAGGGCATTTCTGAGGCCTTCCTCTGCTCTGCTCCCAGTTGCTGACACTAAGCCGAGTAGATTCTATCTCTTAACTGTTTGAGCTAGGATGTATTTCTGTGCCTTTCCCTCCGCGGCGACTCTAGTGCAGGTCACCGTCAGGCCTTCTCTGGGAACCTCTTTGCCCCTTCCACTCTTGGCAGAGGACGCCACCAGGCCGGGAATCCGCGAAGATCTTCCTGCATTGCCTTTCTAATCACTTCACTCTTCTGCTTTAAACGTTACGGTTGCTTCTCATTACAAGGCTTGCAAGGACTTTCACCCTCTGGCCTTTGTCTACCTTTGCTAATAACCTCACCGTTTCTAGCATCTCTGCCCCAGAGACCTTGGTGAACGTGTTCCCTGGGATACTCTTTCGGCTTCCTACTCCCTTTGGCAGGCACTCTTCAGATGTAGGGTTAAAAAGGTCACTTTCTCCAGGACTTCCTTGCTGACCCCCTCAATTAAGTCAGGCTTCTGCCACGTGCTTACTATCCTGCAGTTTCCAGACCTCAGTGTGCACATCTTGTTTTATTACCTGCTGATACGTCTTCTTCATGGGCTCTAAGCCTAGTGAGGCCAGGAATGGTTTTTACTTGGTACTTTATGGCTCCGTGCATTGTGGATAATCCAGAAATACCGGAAGAAAGATCGGCGGTGGTGGGGCTGAAGGTGGGAGAGTATTGCAGGCAGGCAGAGGGAATAGTGTGCCTGAACACGTAGAGCTGGGGAACCGGAGGCCTCCTTAAACAATAAGTGGTTCCGTGGCGGGGTGTGATCGTGCCTGGTGGGGCATAGAAGGTGAAAGGCTGGTGGGGAGATGGGAGGGGGGGCAGAGTGGGGAGGGCCTTGTATGTCAACCTTAGAGGGTTTGCACTTGATCTTCTAGGTCGTGGATGCCCCCAAGACATAGCGCAAAAGGCACCTCAGCAAGGCCTGTTTTTCTCCTCCAAAACTGTTACTTCTCATCAGTCCGTATTTTGTTTTCTGGATCATGTGCCCTAAGACTGTGCTTATTGAACTGCTTGGTTCTCATCTCCCCGGCTAGATTCTGAAGGTGGTAGTTCCCACGCCTGTCTTGGCCTCCCCTCCGGAGCACATAACTGTAAGTATTTACTGAAGGATTTAAGTATTCTGTGCTGTTCGAATACCGAGGCACGCGGACAGACTCGCGGTTTGGCAAGAGCCCTGTTAGATTTGTCTTGCTCGTCTTCATGACCACCTTCAAGCTGATGCCAGCCTCCCGCAGTCCCCACTTCCTGATTCCCGGAGCTTGAGGGGAACACGGGGAAAATGCAGGACGAGGAGTGCTGTGCAGCGGGCTTCTGCGGCAGATACGGAGGCTCCGGCAGAACTGGCACGAACAGGGTCTGACCTTGCCTGAAGGAGCTGAATTTTGGATTTCTGTTAGAAGGTGACTTAGGAGGAGGAGTGACCAGTGGAGGTCAGGATGCCATTTCCAAAGGCCGTCCTGTTTTCCACAGCCCTACCCCAGCAGTTCCTAACCCTGTTCAGTATCAGATTCACCTGGGCAGCTTTTTACAAGTATAGACGCCCTGGCCCTATTCCCAGGGCTCCCAGTTCAGTACATGCGGTATAAGGACCAACCCATCCATAGGTTTTAAAAGGCAACAGGTTATTTTTGAGGTGCAGCCAGGATTGAAAGGGCATCAAATTTGGGTCCGGAAAACCAGTTGTGACTTTGGGCAAGGCGCTTAAAGTCAAGGCTGTTTTTTTTTTTTTTTTTTTTTTAATTTTTTTTTTTTCCAACGTTTATTTATTTTTGCGACAGAGAGAGACAGAGCATGAACAGGGGAGGGGCAGAGAGAGAGGGAGACACAGAATCGGAAACAGGCTCCAGTCTCTGAGCCATCAGCCCAGAGCCTGACGCGGGGCTCGAACTCACGGACCGCGAGATCGTGACCTGGCTGAAGTCGGACGCTTAACCGACTGCGCCACCCAGGCGCCCCGGTCAAGGCTGTTTTCTTACCCACACGTTGGGCAATCATATGGGAGTTGTGTGAGAATCAAGTGATACATGGAGAAAGTGCCTTCTCGCTTCTGACACGCTCCACAGAGACGCCTGTCTCCATCAGTAGTAGCCAGCCTGGGTGAACTGGAGCGGACTTCATGGTGCAGGGGGCATGTCGGGGAAGGCAGCCCTCAGTGGGATACATGGTTTGGAATGAGGGACTGTCTGGAAGGAGAACATCTGGTTACCTGAAAACAGGGACAGTTCCAGACGCCAGACTCGTCGGGGGCTGGCTTGTTTAACCCCCTTCAGCTTTGCCACGTAGGTCACTATGGGCTGAGCCCCAGGAAGAAGGGAGGCATAAAAGTGAGGGAAGAGAAATGCGCTTGCTCTGGGAAGGAGAGCCAGGATGTGCTTCCCACATCAGTGGTTTACAACAGCTTCCCAAGAAGGAGCCTTCCTGTTTTTCTTTTTCACGTTTCATGACAAAATTCCCCTGATTTTCAGCAGATTGCCAGTTGGAGCAGTCTCTTGGAATAACCGGCAGGGGGAATGTACGCCCGTGTCTCTAGATGTTCGAGGAGGGTCACACAGAAGCTTAGGGTCTGGGGAGGGAGGGAGGCTAACAAAGGGCATAGAACGAAAATATCATTTGAGTTTTTAACCGTGTGCGTGGATTAACTCACACCTGGTCGGTAATCATGAATGGCAGAGGCTTCCGGGTGCTCACAGTGAGCTCTGTGCAGGTGGACTTGGTTTTGGTTCCCTGCCGAGCCCAGTGACTGGAACGCTGCCTGCACGCCGGAGGTGCTCAGGGAGTGTTTGCTGAATGAAGCCTGACTGGAGAGCATCTTAGAAAATGTTGGCAGAATTGTTAAGAATACCACACAGTCCTTAAAAGAATGACCATGAACAGGTAGAAACATGGAACATTTTTAATAAAGGAAATAAATAAATAGAACGTCACGGGGATTGCAGTAATGCAAAAACATGTATATATTGCCTGTGTACGAATAAAGACAAAGTCATGAAAAAATGGGGAAAATAAATGCCTTAGTCTTAAAAGAGGTCTGGTGTATGGTCACGTAATCAGTTCTGTGGAATGAGGCTTGCTGTGGCCCATCGAGAACCAAAGTACAGGTAGGATACTCTTATGACATGCACTGCCAGTAACACAAGTTTTACTTTGTCGTTTGCTTCTCCACGAGAGATTTTTCGGAATGGCCGCGGCTCCTCAGGCACCGGGGAGGGGCTCCGTTCGGAAGACTAGACCCTTAACCGTAAAGACCTCGCTGAACAACCCTTACGCCATCTGCTGGAGTGCGCTCGAGAGAGAACACATGCACTTCATACTGCAGACGCTTGAAGACAGATTTAAATCTCTTGGGCTTCGGAAGATGGAGGATAAGAAGAAAAGGAGAAAGCAGTTTTTAAAAAAACCAAGCCCAGACAGGTGTGGCACAGAGGTTGAGAAGAGCGAAGGCCTGAAGGAGAAACCGCCAGAAGGTAGCGAGCAGGGGTCAGGGTGGACCCCCGTGGACGTCAGGAAGCAGCTCGCCATTGGCATCAATGAAGTCACCCGCGCTCTGGAAAGGAACGGGCTGCTGCTGGTCCTGGTGTGCAGGTCAGCCAAGCCCGCCATCCTCACCTCGCACCTGATTCAGTTAAGTCTGAGCCGGGCGGTTCCCGCTTGTCAGGTTCCCCGGCTCAGCGAGAGGCTCGCACCGGTCATCGGCCTGAAGTGCGTCCTGGCCTTGGGGTTCAAAAAGACCACCACAGCCTTTGACGCTGAAGTCAGAGCTATAATTCCCCGAGTACCCAGCTTACACGTGCCCTGGCTTCAAGGCAGACCCGAGGACTCCGGGGCAAGTTTAGACACTGCGTCCTCAGAAAGCCGAGACAGAGAGGTTTTGGACACGTCCTTTGAAGACCTCGCTAAACAGAAAAGAAAGCTTGTTGGAAGTCAGCAGGCTGTGGTGTTACAACCCCTTAAAATAAAGAAACTGATTCCAAACCCCAATAAGATAAGGAAACCTCCCAAAGGTAAAAAAACTACCTCAAAGTAATCTTGGGTCAACTTATCGTTTCGCAGTTGTAAGAGGACACTTTACAAAGAAGCCTTGGAACTAATAAAATTTGTTATTTTTACGTATATTCTCGAATACTTTTGGTAACATCCGTTTCATACGTATAAGACTCTTTGTATAGCCAGATGGGCTGACGCTTGAAAACACTAAGTGCAGAAAATATCCAGAAGTACGAATATCGTAACAAAAGTTTATTGCGACTAAGGTCCATGCTTGTATAAATTCACTTTCCAAGAGGCTGGTACCAATGCTAGTAAGCAAGAAAATCTGCATCCCACGACACTTAACATCTTTCTGGCAGGCTTGGAAGGTATACCACAGTAAACAGGTTCTAGTTAGTGCTGCCGGTGAGAGCGGACTGCAGATGCATCATCAGCTTTAAAAGAGCTATGAAACACCAAACAATACATCGTCTTTAGAAACATCACAAAAACGGGGCACCTGGGTGGCTCAGTGGGTTAAGCGACCGACTTCGGCTCAGGTCGTGGTCTCGCAGTTTGCGGGTTCGAGCCCCACATCAGGCTCTGTGCTGACAGCTTGCACAGAGCCTGGAGCTTGCCTCTGATTCTGTGTCTCCCCCCTCTCTGATTCGCCAATGCTCATGCTCTGTCTCTGTCTCTCAATAATAAATAAACATTAAAACAAAAATTAAAAAAAAAAACATCACAAAAAAATCTTTTTTTCTTAACTTCCTGTTGATTTAACTTTGTAGGTAGGCAAATGCATGAGCTTGGGAGAAAGGCTTAATGTTCATAAAAAAAAGCCAGACACGGTATTTTGAATGGCTGAAGTTCACCCCTTTACGTGGTTAACTTCCTTTCTTGGAAATATAACATGGGTACAAAGTAGGCCGGTAATTAGGTGAAATAAGTCAGGAAGAGAATTAAAAAAAGTAAACTGATGGGGCGCCTGGGTGGCTCAGTCGGTAAGCATCCAAAGTCGGCTCAGGTCATGATCTCATGGTTCATGAGTTCAAGCCCTGCATCAGGTTCTCTGCTGTCAGTGTGGAGCCCTCTTGGGATCCTCTGTCCCCCTTCCTCCCTGCCCCTCCCTTCCCTTTCTCGCAAAAAGAAACATTAAAAAAAAATTTAGTCCTGATAACTTTATCAACACAAGTGATTTTACTGATTTTCAATTTTGAAATATTTACTGGTAATCTGCCTAAATTATAAAGAGGGAAATGTGACATTTATTAACTAGTGCATTTAAAAACGACAGGAAAACTGAATTCTACAACTGAATCATGTAAACAAAGGAAAAGTGCCATAGTCTCATCACGAGGGGAGCTTGTGATAAAATTTGGCAATTCTGCAATTATTTGAAAACCTGCTTCATGTAAGACTGTGCCATAAAAATGAGCGGAATATAATTCCCAACTATAGTCTTAAAGCCAGATTAAATTAAAATCCCTAATTCCCAGCTAGAGCCTTGAGTCCAGATTAACTTAAAATTCCATTTACTTGGGGCGCCTGGGTGACTTAGGTGGTTAAACACCTGACTTAGGCTCAGGTCATGATCTCGAGAGATTCGTGAGTTAGAGCCCCACATGGGGCTCTGTGCTGACAGCTCAGCGCCTGGGGCCTGCTTTGGGTACTGTGTCTCCCTTTCCCTGCCCCTTCCCCGTTCATACTGTCTCTGTCTCTCTCAAGAATAAACATTAGAAAAAAAATTTTTTTAATTAAAAAAAAAATCCCGCTTACTTAATTCTTGGTGTTTCAATGAGTTAGTTCAGTTTTGCTTCCAAAGCCACTCTCCTGTTAAGGAAGAATGGGGTAATGCAGTTGGGTCCGAATCCTTGGTCTTCAAAAACCATCCCCGTCCTCAGGCACTACTGTGGCCCCCCGGGCGCCCTCTAGTGGTGGTCTCGGGGCTGCCACGGCTGTGGGTTTAATCTTGTGCAGAAAGTGGCTTTCAGCTCTTTAGTGTAAGTCAGAGCTGACAAAATTTTTTTTTCTGTAAAGGGCCAGGTAGTAAATACGCTAGGCCTTTTGGGCCATACAGTGCTGTCAGAATAACACAACTCTGCCTTTTGTAGTGTGAAGCAGCCACAGGAAATGCGTAAGCAAGTGAGTGTGGCTGTGTTCCAATGACACTTTATATATGGATGCTGAAATCTGCATTTCCTATAATTTTCACATCACAAGATGTTATTTTTCTTTGATCCTCCCCCCCCCACCCCCACCCCCACCCCCGGAACCATTCAAACATGTAAAAACCATTCTTAGCTCACGGGCTGTACAAAAAGAGGTGATGGGCTGGATTTGGCTCGTGGGCCATAGTTTGCTAGGTCCTGCCTGGTATAAGGTACGACCAGTTTCATCTGACCGCTTACAACATGAAGACTGTCATATTGTCGAAAATTCAATTTTTCTGGACTGAAGAGCCTAGGCACTGGTACAGTAAAGGCAGGAACAAGTATATCTACTTCGTGGTATTTGAGCCAAAGCCAGTTTCCACGTGGCCTCGTTCATGTTTTCCCCCTCCTGGACTACTGGCAGTTAATATGCACGTAGATATGTACACTGAGAAAACTGGTTTTCAAATTCTAGATAAAAACACCATCAGTAACAAAATTATGAACACTTATTTACAAATAACATTTTCCATTAGCATGACAGCTTTCATGATAAATTAAAGTCAGCATAAAGGAACATGTGCAATTTTGCATAAGTAATAAAAACATTCAAACTATCAATGTCCTGATAGCACTAATAAATTCCACTGAGCATTTCTTTTGGCTTTAGAGCTTTTATTTTCTTTGCCTCACATCTCTTGTTGCTGCCGAGAAGAAGCGAGTATGTGCAGCAGCAGCAAAGTCTAGTCAGCCATGGGTGTAGACTCACAGAGACCATGTTTGCACAAAACTTTGCTTCTGAAACCAATCCACTGACCTGTTGAAGATCAAAGTACAAATCTATGTGTTTACTCATTTGGCGACTCTGCTCCTGGAGAAATAAATGTACTTACTAGTCCCCGGTACCTTTTGATCTCACTATATACTTAGACACCCCCCACTCCTCACTGAGTTACACACGTCCGGGTTCCATAAACGCTCTCAATCACACTGTGCAAGGTGGGGAAGTACCGATTTGCCAGATGGGTCCTTCATTCTGTTACATGGACAAACAGACCAACACTTAATCAAAGAAATGCAGCAGTTCATCTCCACACAACAGCAAAGATTTGCTTACACAATTCTGTGACTTCTGTTCAGTCCATAGAAAAACAGTCCCTTTTCTACAGAGAGGAAAAATCCCTTCTCTTCATCAGGAGACAGCCAAAAGTCTGAAAATTCGAGGAATGTGCTCTTTGTACCCTTTCATCCCTCCTACAAATAGGTGAACAGTGGAAAAAAAGAATGTTAACATTCTAGCTAGAAAGATGTACTATTGGTCACGTATGGGTGTTTTTTCATCTTTTCTGATTGTTACCGACGACATCGATTTTGCCGAAGTTGTGCTTTTATTTTATTCTTCTTTGGAATGGCAGTTCCAGGAATCATTAAATAGAATATTAACAAATGATGATGCCAGAGTTCTAGAAATAGAAATATCCATCTATTGTAATACTAGTCCAACCTAGGGAGGGAAGAAACATAACAGGTAAGCAAGAAAAAATAAATTATCGTGTAACAGATCTGTATGTTTTAAAAGCTACTAAAAAACACCTTACCAATCCTAAGGGAAGCAAGTATGGGATTTCCTAGGTAAATGTATGAAGTTTATAAAGGGTGTGTCAACTTCACTTACCTTTTCAGAATCTGTTCCTGGACATCTCCAGTTGTACAGATAATACTGCAAATTGCCATCTCCTATGCCAAACTTGAGTTTTTCCAAGAAGGTCTTATTTTCCATCAAATCTAGTGCATTGAATACATCAAATCCTTTCTGCCAATATAAAAAGGATTTAAAATTTTAAATTTCAAAGGACCAGAGTGTTTCCTCTATTATGTATTTCAGTGTAGTATTTAATTCATCTACTAACAGCTTGAATATGCATTTCTCCTAAAGAGGTTTAATGTCTATAATCTATGTGTAGGTGAAGAACTCAGTTCAAATGGTCTTATAAAACTAGCAGCGAGTCTGACGGAGTCAGGAGGCTTACCCAGAAATGCTCAGTCCAAATCGGTAGTATGTTGGCTAACACCAACATAATCTATGAAGATCTCAGAGAATATTCTGTCCCTGTTTGAGAAGGAACATTTTGCCCAGATGGCTCTGTCTCCAGAACTGTTAGTTATTGGCCTTTTGAAGTTCTGACTTAGCTAGAGCTTTAACGACTTCAAGTGTATCCTTGTCTTGGGCTGCTGCTGGGAAGTAAATTTAGTAACATTTTACTAGTAAAAATCTAATTTCTTAAAAATGTTAAGTAATAATACCATGAAAGACGTGGTATAGATGAAGCACCTACATTTCTATTTCTCAGGGGTTTTGCTTTACATCATTTATTGTCGGCCTTTTATGGGGGGGGGGGGGAGGAAGTAGCTGAAAAAGAACAGGATCAAAGAATCTGGATAATGTTGACTTGGGGATCCAAGAGTACAATGTTAAAAAAAAAAAGTGTTTTCAGTTATCAAATGCCAGATAAATGCAGATATGTCTCACGTGTTGTTCCCAGTTTCTCACAAATAACATTTTCTCATGTTTAATAATTACATCAAAACAACTGTTAGCTAATTTCAACTTTTTTTTTCTCTTTCTTTTTTTTTTTGAGAGAGAGAATCTCAAGCAGGCTCCGTGCTCAGTGTGGAGCCTGACGTAGGGCTCGAACTCACCATTGTGAGATCATGACCTGAGCCAAAATCAAGAGTCAGACACTCAACCAACTGAGCCACTTGGGTGCCCCTCAACTTCCTTTTAAAAGAAAATGTTTATTTGTATCAAGAATTTAACAATTACCCTAATTACTACAACTAGAAAAATACTGCAAATATAGGACAGCACATTTTGAATTTAATTCCTTTCATTTTTCAAAATGCCTTTTATTTTAAAATTCAGAGACTAGTTGAGTCCAAAAAAAGGTTGTTGTTGCTAATTATTCACTACAACACAAACATGTATGTTCCTTATATCAAGCATCATGTATTTTCCCTATATTCCTTGTATTATGAGTTTTATGCATTCTTATATGAGGGTTAGGAGTTTCTAATTTGGGGGCACCTGGGTGGCTCAGTCGATTAAACATCCCACTTCAGCTCAGGTCATGATCTCAAGGCTCGTGAGTTCGAGCCCACGTCAGGCTCTGTGCTGACAGCTCAGAGCCTGGAGCCTGTTTTGGATTCTCTGTATCCCTCTCTCTGTCCCCCTCCCCTGCTTGTGCTCTGTCTCTCTCTGCTCTCAAAAATAAACATTAAAAACAACAAAGTTTCTAATTTGCACAAAATGTTTTTGGTTAAGTTGCAAATAGAATTAATGATGCAAACAGTCACTGAAGTTTTAAAAGAAACTCTTATCAAAATTGTTCCTCTGATGGTCAACAGTAAAAAAACATCTCAAATGAGGGGCGCCTGAGTGGCTCAGTCGGTTATGCAACTGACTTCAGCTCAGGTCATGATCTCGCAGTTCGTGGGTTTGAGCCCCGCATCAGGCTCTGTGCTGACAGCTTGGGGCCTGGAGCCTGCTTCGGGTTCTGTGTCTCCCTCTCTCTCTGTTCCTCCCCTGCTGGTTCTCTGTCTCTGTCTCTCAAAAGCAAATAAACGTTAAAAAAAAATAAAAAAAAAAATCTCTAATGAATTGCACCCGTGTGGAGGAAAATACAGTAAGAGGTTTTATACACACTGACACGCAGATATGGAGAAACAGACAAAAAAGGAGTCAGTCACTTACCAGCTTGGCTATAATGAGTGCGTCACTCATGAGGTCCAGCAGGGGCGTCTCGGTGTGAATGTTGTAGAAGGAGTAGGCAGCTTTGAGGCTCTTGTGAGCAGGGTGGTGCATGACTGTGGAGGGGAGTGTGTAGAAGCTCAGGAAGTCAGTTAGTTTACCACTGGAGTTCTAAAGGACAAAGGTAAGTCAGGTAAATACCTCCTTGAACACGCTGCATCCGTGCATTTAAGCGAACTTTTTGATTTCTGACTTGTACGGGAACTTTATGAAAAAAGGCAGCACCTCCTACCTCTCTGTCAGCAGTCTGGGTCTGGGGGGCCCTTAGGGTATGTTGGGTAGAGCCTGAGAAGCAGCATGGAGTTAGACCCTACTTAGCCTAGTGCTGGCTGGCAATCTGCCTGACATTCTTAAGAAGCAGAATGTTCTAACAGGGAAGTTTCCCTTAGCTTGACTAATGAGTCTCCCTAGACCCTTGGAACAGAGATGAAAGCAGATTCACTGTTTTTGCAGAAACAAGAGCTCCAGGGACTGGAAGGCCATCTTCCCCAACTAAAAGATACTGTATCAATCTAACATCTTCTTGGCACAGAGCAAGAATTTTATCAGCTTAAAGTGAGGTCAACAGAGTGTAGCAGCTGTTTTGAGAAGCTTGTGAAAGGCAGACACACCTGTGAATCTGAAGCAACCAAAAATCAAAAGGGACCCAAACAATGGTCTTGATTTCACCATCACTGGTATACCTTTTAATATAAAAAGTTAGCCAGTATTGTTTGGGTTGTTTACATTAGCTCTGGTGGCCTATGCGGATGGCATACAATTCAAACTGTGATATGCCTGAATTATACACAGCTGAAGAGACTAGACAACACATATATTCTTGCTAGTATTTCTTTTGGCAGAAAATTCCATAAGGAATATACTGTTTTTCTTAATGCTTCTGATATACGAAACCGGTTTTCAGACATTAAGAAACTAACCATGTTTTGCTAAAGTGATTCTCTACTGCTCTCTATTAACAGCTAGCTCAATATTTGAGTTGAATTAAAGACCTCAATTTTCAGCTTTAAATTTTTTTTTTTTAACGTTTATTTATTTTTTTGGGACAGAGACAGAGCATGAACGGGGGAGGGGCAGAGAGAGAGGGAGACACAGAATCAGAAACAGGCTCCAGGCTCTGAGCCATCAGCCCAGAGCCCGACGCGGGGCTCGAACTCACGGACCGCGAGATCATGACCTGGCTGAAGTCGGACGCTTAACCGACTGCGCCACCCAGGCGCCCCCTCAATTTTCAGCTTTAATAAGGACTTCACTTGAAAAACAAAACTCACTCGATGGGCTCAATAGTGGAGTGGAGATGACAGAGGACAGAAATCACTGCACTTGAAGAATTCAGTAGAATTTACCCAGTATGAAAAAAAAAAAAGAAAACAGACTGGGGAAAAAGAAAAAAAAAAAGAATTAAGTCTCAGGGATCTGTGGGAGAACGACAAAAGACCCAACAATCCTATCAGAAGAGTCCCACAAGAAATCAAAGAAAAAGAAAAAATGTGGAGCTACAAAAGCAGAAGAAATAATGACTGAAAAGATTCCCAGATTTGGCAAAACACACACAATAAATTCAAGAAGCTGAGCGAATCTTAACAGGAAAAACCCAAAGAAATCCACTCCAAGATGGATCCTAATTACAGTTCTGAAAACTAAAGACAAAGAAAAGTCCTGAAAGTAGCCATGGAGAAATGAGACATTACCAAGGAGAACACCATCACATTACCATTACCTTACATTACCATGACCAAGAGATTCACATTACAGCAGGTTCCTCATCAGAAGCCACAGAGGCCAGGAGGAATGCACATCGTTTATAAGTGCTGGAAGAAAAGAACGATCAACCATGAATTCTGCTTCTGGTGAAACTACCCTTCAGGAATGAAGGAGAAATAAGGACATTCTAGGACAAATGAAAACTAAAAGAATTTGCTGCTAGAAGACATACCTTTAAGACTGGCCAAAGGACATTCTCCAAATAGAAATGAAATAATAACAGAAGGAATCTTAGTGCATCAGGAAGTAAGAAGGAACAACAGAGCGGAAATCCTGGTACATACTGTAAACTATGCTTCTCCTTATGAGTTTTATAAATCTACTCGATGACTGAAACACAAGTTGTAAAACCATCTGATACTCAAGACAATATTTAACAGTCAAAAAGATGGAGAGTTGGGGCGCCTGGGTGGCGCAGTCAGTTAAGCATCCGACTTCAGCCAGGTCACGATCTCGCGGTCCGGGAGTTCGAGCCCCGCGTCGGGCTCTGGGCTGATGGCTCAGAGCCTGGAGCCTGTTTCCGATTCTGTGTCTCCCTCTCTCTCTGCCCCTCCCCCGTTCATGCTCTGTCTCTCTCTGTCCCAAAAATAAATAAACGTTGGAAAAAAAGAAACTCACTTCAAATTCAATGATGTGGGTAAGCTGAAAGTTAAAAGGCTATATGAGACATACCATATAAACATTAATTTGAAAATAGGAGTGACTATATTAACATCCAATCAAGTAGACTTCACAGCAAAGAAAGCTACCTTAAACAAAGAGGGATATTACATGTTGATAAAAATATTGATCCCCTGAGAAGACAGAAAGGTCCTAAATGTATATGTACCAAACAAGACCGTCAAAATACATCAAGAAAAACTGAGAGAGCTGGAAGGAGAGATGGGCAAAATACAAAGTTATAGTCGGGGACTTTCACACTCCTCTCATCAAATGACAGAACTGCTGGCAAGAAAACCATCAGGAAGCAGAAAATCTGAATAATAACAAAAGGATCTAAATGGCATATAGAGAACAAACACCCCACCTCAAAAGAGCAGAATACACATTTCACACACATTCACCAAGAGAGACCACATGGGCCTAAAACAAACCTCAAGAACCTTAATAGAGCTGAAATCATACAAAGTGTCTTATCCAACCATAATAGAATGAAACTAGAAATCAACAGGAAATCTCTGAGCGTGTCAAAGTTGAACAGAATTCTAAATAGTCCGTGGCTCAACGAGGAAGTTCCAAAAGAAATTTAAAAATATACATAGAACCAAACGAAAATGAAAATATGACACATTAAAATACTAGGATGAAGCTAGAGCAGTGGAGGGAGGGACACTTAGAGAACTACGTGCTCACACATAACAAGGAAAGGCCTCAGTAATCTAAGTCCATCCCTCAAGGGACAAGACAAGGAAGAGTATGATAAGCCCAAAGAAAGCAAAAGTAAGGAAATAATAAATATAAGATCAGAAATCAATGACACCAAACATAGGAAAACAGAGAAAAATCAATAAAACAAAAGTCTTGTTCTTTGTGGAAAAAAGTCAATTACAGTTGATTTGATGCAAACATAAAAAAAGAAGACACAAATGTATAAGTATCAGGAATGTAATAAGCATTATCACTATGGATCCTGTAGCCATTAGAAGGATGTGAGAAAAATGAAACCACTTTACTCTTATCAACTTGAAAATATAGAATTATAAAATGCTGATAAAATAAAATTGAAAAGATTAAAATAAAGAGAGACATATCATGTCTATGGACTGGAAGACCTGTCAGTTCTCCCCAAATTAATTTATAGGTTAATGCATTCTTATCAGAATCCCAGCAAGGTATTCTGTAGACAAAGACAAGCGTATTCTACAATTTATGAAGGAAAGGTCAAGGAAATAGATCAAAATAATTGACAAAGAAGAATAAAGTGGGATGAATCACTCTGCCTCATATCAAGGCTTCTACAGAGCTATAGTAATTAAGACAGGGTGGCAGGAACAGACACCACAGATCAATGGAACAGAAGAGAGAACCCAGAAATAGAGCACAATTCGAGTATAATTATTCAACACATGCAAAAACTTTTAGAAATCAAGATGATAGTTAAAAAAAAAAGGCAAAGTATATGAGCAGCATACAAATGGCTAACAGACGATGTTCAAATTCATCAGTAATAAGAACAGATTAAAAACAAACCATGTGATATCCATCAGACCAACCTAAATTTAAAGTCTGATAATAACCAAGTGTTAGTGAGGATGTGCAGAAAGAGGAACTCTCATTCGCTGCTAGGAGATACTTTGGTGAGCTATCTGGCAATCTCTAGTGATGGTTAAAGACGTGTCTGACCCTTAGACTCTGCAGTTAGACTTCTGAGTATGTATCCTAGGGCAGCAGTTCTCAAAATGTGGTCTGTGAACACCTGTGGGTGCCCGAGACCCTTCCAGAAGCCCGTGAAATCAAAACGATTTTCGTAACAGCACTAAGAAGTTCTATGCCTTCTTCACCGTGTGGACATCTGCACTGAGGATGCAGAAACAATGGCGGCGCAGCTCCCCCTGCCTCAGCACAATACAAGGCAGTGGCACCAAGCTGTACGGTGGTCATTTTACTCTTCACCGCCACCCCCTCGTAATTAAAAAGAAGCTTCACTGAAGCATGTCCGTGACTAAAGAATTATTAATTGTATTAGCTCTCGACCCTTAAGAACTCATCCTTCTAACATCCTGTGTGATGGCTTGGAAGGAAGCAACATCTAGCTCTTCTGCGTCTGGAAACACAAAGGTTGTCTCAAAGAGAAGCCCGAAGGTATAGAGTTTGGAAGATCTGTAACTCAGCGAACCAATTATTTCCCAAATGACCAATCTATGACATTACAAACTCATACACTGGTGAAAGAATGATCAAAGCACAAGATGCACCAGTGGGTTTTAATCTAACAGAATATGAGCTGTTCATTAACACGCTTTCAGATAGAGAATATTCAAAATGATTTGAACAGGCTGTTAAAATACTCATTCTTTCCCTTCTCTTCAATACTTCCTGTGAAGGATTTTTCCCCACATGCTTCAGCCAAAAGAGCACATCACAATAGATGGGATGCAGAAGCAGCTGGGAGGACCCAGCTGTCTTCTAGTAAATCGGATGTTAGAGAGATTTGCAGAAATACAAAACGTACCATTCTTAATTTTGTTGCTTTGGAAAATAGGTGTTTTTCATGAAAATCATGTTATTTAGGTAACATGTTTATTCTTGTCCTATTGTTATTAAATAGTATATATATATTTCAATTATTTATTGTCTTTTAAACTAAGATACAACTGACACATAACATTATATGACTTTCAAGTGTACAAGGTACTAATTCAATATTTGTATATACTGCAAAATGATCACAGTAAGTTTAGTTAAAATCCATCACCGCATGCAGTAATAATTGTTTTTTCTTATGATAAGAACTTTTAAGATCTACTCTCTTAGCTCCTTTCAAATATATGACACTATGCTGTACATTACATCCTCACGACTTATTTTATTAACTGGAAGTTTATAGCTTTTGACCCTCTTCAACCCACCCCCTACTCTGGGCAGCCACCAAGCTGTTTCCTGCATCTGTCAGGTGTTTTTGTTTTTGTTTTTGTTTTGGATTCTACATAGAAGTGAGAACATACAGTATTTGGCTTTCTCTATCTGCTTTATAAAATAATAAACATTTTTGTTTCAACTTTCAATGTAATAAATATCTGTAAATATTATCCCTAGAAATAAAAGAAAAATAAAAACAAACAAAAAAATTGGGTCCTCAATAATTCCTGAGTCAAGAAGTCCTGAGATCAAAAACTTTGAGAACTGCTGACCTGGAGAAACTTACACAAGTGCATAAAGATCTGAGTATCGAGATGTCCACTCCAGCGCGGTTTTCAGAAATAAAAGCTTGCTGTTCTCCAGAAAGGTCCTTTGAATTCACCCTGTCCATTTTCGCCGCTTCTGCCCTCACTTGGCTGTCATCCCCTATCCGGACCGATGCCCGACAGGGCTGGCAACACACTTCCGGCTCAAGGCTCGCAACTGAACGGGTGAGTAGGCCACCACCAGGACTTCTAACTGCCGCCTCACTCCTCCTCTCCTCCAGGTACTTACCAGATTAAATCTCAACTTTCCAACCTAATCCCATGTCACCCAAAAGAGGTTCTAAGTGAAACGTCATTTGAACAACAAATTCCAAGCTTTAAAAAAAAAGGGGGGGGGGGAGGGCTTAGAAAGCATCATGTTAAATCTGTCTAACCAATCAACAGAAAATCCAGACTGTCACTTTTCCTTCCTGAACAAGGGTTTCTTTCCTTCCTTTCCTGAACAAGGGTTAAGTGGCTGAGTTTTGCCATCTCAACCAAAAAGCAGTTCAGTTAAGCCAGTTTTGTGAAACAAAAGGGTATTAAACTTTGGAGTGTATGTCAGCCAAACTGGCATTTTCAAAACTGGATAAAGCAATTGATCACACAGGGACCAACAGAAGAGCATCCTAATTCCCCATTAACACCTAGTAAAAATGTGCTCTACTCCAGGAATGGAAACTGTAAGAAGAAAGTCTGGTTCTATGAGGGTGAGCAGAAATCTGGTCTAGAAGCAGAGACACAAGAGAAAGAAGGAAAGGGAGGGGGGCATTCTTTGATTCTTCCAGCAAACAGACCTGACCAGATGGTGTTTTCACACTTCTCTGTACTATCTTATCACCTCATCTTTACCTCCACTACAAACGTGTCGATAATGTGTTCCTGGGGGAGGAACCAGTGAGCTACATCCTCTTCATCCATCACCGGGGCGAGATGAAACTGCTTCAGGTAAGTGTTGGTTAAGTCGCGAACCGCCTTGATGTCTCTCGGTTCCATTGGCCTCAAGCCTGAAGTCTTGGTGGCCTTGTTGCAGTAAAAACAAAACAAATTGGGAAGTTTAAATAGAAGAAGAATAAAAGGCCAGCTGTCTCGGCGTCACCTGGGAGCTTGTCAGAACTGCTGAGTGTTGCGCACCACCCCCACCACCTGCACGGGTCAGAATCTGCAATTTAACAAGATTCCCTGGTGATCTGTATACACATTCAAGTTTGAGAAGCACTGACTGAGAATATACGTTCGACGGCGTACTGTTCCCTCTGTCCGTGTGCCTGCTCTTTGGTCAGTATTGCCCGTGACAATACTGCCCAAAGTCAGAGGGAACACTACAAGCTGATCCGCGTTCCAGAGCTGCGACTTTTAACAGCTCACATCACAGGGCAGAACGATCTTATCAGCATGTGTTCTAGAATACTGTGCTTTAAAACTGCCCTGACATGTTGAAAATGCAGATGAAAACAGTTAAGAATCTTACTTTATTCAATGGCCTGCGAAAAGGCTGTTGGAATTTTGTTCTTATGAGCAACAAAAATGAAATAAAAGTAAATCATGTTGGTCAGAATGGGAAGGGAGAGCGTTTTAACAGTCAGCTATTTTCTAAAGGGGAATGGCGAGCGGCCGAGTACTGGCCCTGGCCTCTCACGCCATCTTTTGATTAAAAGGTGATCAGAGCAGGCAACTGAATCCATCATTCCAGAGCATCACGATTTCTGTGAAGAACAGAATTAACCTAAAGGTCCGAACAGGTCACCATGTGGATTTGTTCAACTGCTTGTCCTCAAGAGTTCCAGACATCACTTAGCTCCCTAGGAAACTGCCTGGACACCAGGACACTTGAGCCTAGAAGTGGGAAAACCCACTACATGTGCTTGTTTGTACAAAATATTAAAAATATTAAAATAGTTTTATTTCATTAAAAATATTAAAATAGTTTCAGTTAACTTGATTTTCTTTTAGAAATAGTGGGCACATTAAAAAAATATTTTTAACGTTTTTATTTATTTTTGAGAGATAGACAAAGCATGAGCAGGGGAGGGGTAGAGAGAGAGGGAGACACAAAATCCAAAGCAGGCTCCAGGCTCCGAGCTGTCAGCACAAAGCCCATCACGGGGCTCAAACCCACGAACCGTGAGATCATGAGCTGAGCTGAAGTCAGTTGCTTAACCGACTGAGCCACCCAGGTGCCCCTAAATAGGGGGTACATTTTAACCAGTAAGTAACTATATATAAATAGTGCTAGTCTACCTTTCCTATTCTAAGTTATTTTTAAATACTTTAAAATTCAATACTGCCTCTAAAATTAGATCATTACAGTTCCTGCATGCCCTAGTCTAGAAGGACAGGAGAAGCCGATGGTGGAAAATAGGTTTTCATCCTGAGTGCTGGCTCCGATCCATCTCAGTGGCTGTGCTGAGGTTTCTAAGGGTCCATGACAAACAATGCTGACTGATTACTGATTAGTGGGATTGAGCAACTTGTTCTTTGTATTTACAGACCAAATGTCCTTACTATGTGCCATTCTGTTATGATTCATGTAATCTATGAAGACACAGGAATGCAGCTGAAATACAGTGTAATCGTCTAAACTGAGAGAATGTAAGTCCTTAACACTGTAGAGAACTCATGTGGCCGTTCTGTGGAGCACAAAGCGAAAGGACGGGAAATCTCCAGGTCCTAGCTTCCATCGAACGCTTAACCCCTCAAGCAGGCAGGGCAATAACGGCCCGAATACGTGCTGAATGAATGCATGAATGAATTCCTATGTTTTGTACCACAATCATTTACCTAGTAAGCTGTGGTGAAGGCTGCAGACAGGGAAAAAAATTACTGTCTGCTCTGCAAAGATGAGATTTCTTTGCCTGGCACTTATGCGTAAGCCTGGCGTAAATTCTTTTCTTTTGTTTCCCCTGAACCAATTTTAGTGTTTGGTAGCATTTCTATACTGCAGATTCACGGGAAGATGGAACCCATGTGATTTCCAAATACTGTTAAATGTAATCAATACATATATATATTTTTAAATAGTTTTATTTATTTTTGAGAGAAAGATAGAGACGCGCAGGGGAGGGGCAGAGACGGGGGGCAGGGGTGGGGGGGCACAGAATCCAAAGCAGGCTCCAGGCTCCGAGCTGTCACAGCACAGAGACCAACGTGGGGCTTGAACTATGAACTGCGAGATCATAACCTGAGCTGAAGTCAGATGCTTAACTGACTGAGCCACCCAGGTGCCCCTAATCAATGTATATTTCTCAATGCTAATAGGAAAACTAAAATATATATACAAAGAATGTATATTTTTATTTTTTTGAAGTTTATTTATTTATTTTGAGACAGAGCATGCACAAGTTGGGGAAGGGCAGAAAGAGAGAGAGAGAGAGAGAGAGAGAGAGAGAGAGAATCCCAAGTGGGTGCACAGCCCGATGTGGGGCTTGAACTCACAAACCGCGAGATCATGACCTGAGCCCAAGTCGGATGCTTAATGGATTGAGCCACCCAGGAGCCCCTAGAAAGAATGTATTTTAAAAAGTCATTTAAAAAGATGATTTTCTTCCATGAGGATGACCTTGATAAATTTTTAAGCAGCACTGCTCAACATTAAACTGCTTTTTCTTTTGCTACTGGTTCAGTAACAAGATCAAGCGATTAGATTCACTAATGAAAGCAACAGGATACATGCATCTGTTAAGCAGACATTCAGAAATGAAGAAAAAGCTTGCCAGCTTCTTCCTAGACCAGAACATTCTTCTGCAGGACAATTCTCATTCACTGAATATTTATACTGCAAAATCACTAAAATCAACATCTTTTGCCCGGCAGACATCTTTAAAGCAGCAGTTCCCAAATATTTTTGTCTGAAACCCCTTTACCCTCTTAAAAATTGAATATTCCCAGAAAGTTTTGCTTATGTGGGTTCTATCTACCTATATCTATCATACTAGAAATTCAAACAGAGAAAATTTTAAAACAAAACAATACTGGAGCACACATTCCATACGACCACTGGTAGACTTCACAGCACATCTGCAGGGTAATTTCAGCGAAAAATGCATTTTATGTTTCAATGTTATTACAAAAATAGTGTTGACATCACAGACTCCTCTAGAACAGACTCGAGGACTTCCAGGGGTCCCAGGACTACACTTCGAGAAGTGCTGACTCAGGTCTCCAAAGGTGAGAATAAGGGGTGGTAGAACTGAGAATGGAAAACTCAGGGAAACAGTGTTTGGGCAAACAGGCAGAGAGAATGTATATGCACTGGGCAATTTGTAAGCACTTCAAGTGCTTTTATGCAGAATTTTTTTTTTTTTTTAAAAGGAACATCAGACAGTGTCAGCTATAAGAAAAATGCAAGGGGAGCCTGGGTGGCTCAGTCAGTTAAGCGACTCTTGGTTTCAGCTCAGGTCATGCGATCTCACAGTTTGTGCCTCACACTGGGCTCTGCACTGATGGCATGCAGCCTGCTTGGGATTCTCTCCTTCCCTCTCTCTCTGACCCTCTCTTGCTCACACTCTGTCTCAAAATAAATAAATAAACATTAAAAAAAAAAAAAGGCAAGATCCCAGAAAACCGAGGAAGAATATTTATTTTTGCTGGCTCATAATGGCCATGTGTCTCAGGCCCTAAACTTGCTTCTAACATCATAAAGTCACACACTCTCCAAAACATCTACAGAAGCAAGAAATAAATTTTAAAATGTGAAATAAACCCTCAAGTTATAGCTGTGGTCCTCAGAAAGAGGGGGGGAGAACGCTAAGCCTGGATAAAAAATGATTAAGTTTTGGCATAACCCGAAAGAGTAAGGTGGTCATGTTTCGGAGAATTCAATAAAAAACAAAGACATTTCTAGTGACTGAGAAAATCCAACGTTTCATAAGCAAACTCTGTGGTCTCAATCAGACTTACTTTCCCAGGGTCCAACTAACATGCATCATTCGGACTCTGTTCACTGAAATATGTGTAAAATCTGCTTATCAGTACATCAGAGAAAAAAGGCTCAGCGCTCTATTAAGAAACAGAAGCTGTGTTGTTCTCTGTCGAGCTATGTGGTGTAAACTGTCTTAGAGCCAAGATTCCAGAGCAGAGATGGAAGCAGTGATTACGGTTATTGGCTTTAAAAAGGCAGCAGGAGGGTGCTAAATGGCAAAGAACGCTTCTGTGGCTACTGAAGGTAGAACACTGGGTCTCAGGACATCTTCCTGAGTGTGTCCTGCCAGCAGCACCGAGGGGGGACACTGGGACATTAACCTGCCTCCAGTGTTTTGCCTACATTAAGTGCCTTCACCTTTAGGAGCACTGACCAAAATAAAAAAAAATTCAACAGCAAACATAAAACAAAGCCAACGTTTACAGGGCAGGGACAGGCTTAACTCTTGGGAAGGCCCCAGCATCTCAGAGAGCAGAGGTCATGGCATGGGCCTGTGCGGTTCTCTCCCACCTAGGAGACTCTGGGCAAAGCAATTTCATTGCACTCTTCCGTGAAACCGGGCGAACGCCCCGCCCCTCTCTGTTCCGAGTAAGAAATGAGGCCGTGGACACACGGTGTCTATCTAGTACCACGCTCGCCATAACAATCCTAGCTCCTGTGTTAAGAACTCCATGAATACGACAAGTAAGACATGAAGCGGAAACAGTAATGACGAATCGGAAGATGAGACTGACCCGGAGCAAAAGGTGTATTCAGGAAGGTTCTTCTTACACGTCATGGTACAAAAATGTTCTTAAATCACACGATTGCTTAAAATCACCCACCTGGGCCCCTAGGAGGGGCAGCCGTGGTGTGGTAAGCACTGCAGTGTCCCCCGCTGCTGCTTTTTAAGATTTTAGTTTTAAACCCTATGACCTAGCAAATGCACTAGTAGGTATTTATCCAAAGGATACAAAATTCCTGACTTGAAGGGCACATGTACCCCAGTGTTTACAGCAGCACTCTCAACAATAGCCAAATTATGGAAGGGGCCCAAATGTCCATCAAATGACAAGTGGATGAATGAGATGTGGTGTAAACGTGTACACACACACACACTCACACTCACACACGAGTATTACTTGGCAATGAAAAAGAATGAAATCTTGCCATTTGCAACGTGGATGGAACTAGAATGTATTACGCTAAGCGAAATAAGTCAGTCAGAAAAAGACCGATATCCTCTGATTGCACTCATACGTGTAATTTAAGAACCCAGATGGATTAATATAGGGGAAAAGAAAGAAAAATAAGATAAAAAACAGAGACGGAGGCAAACCGTAAGAAACTCTTAAATACAGAGAACAAAAACTGAGGGTTGCTGGAGGGGAGATGGGTGGGGGATGGGCCAAACGGATGACAGGCATTAAGGAGGTCACTCGCTGGATTGAGCGCTGGGTGTTGTATGTAAGAGATGAATCACCGCATTCTATTCCTGAAACCAATACTACACTATGTTAACTAACTTGAATTTAAATAAATAATTTTTTAAAAAAAGATTTCATTTTTAAGTAATCTCTGTACCCTACGGGGGGGCTCAGACTCACAACCCCAGGACCAAGAGTCGCATGCTCCACCGACTGAGCCCGCCAGGTGCCCCAGCACTGTCCAGTGGGTCCTCAAGAGGCAGACCCTCAGGTGGCTGCCGTGGGCACCTTCCAGTTTTCTAATATCTGTACTCTCACCTCTTCTGCCCTCCTTTCTGTCATTATCTTACTCTCCCTTTTCCTCTCCTTCCCTATAACGGGATGCAGGGAGGGCGACTGACACACACACCAGAGAGCTCCCGCCCGGACCCCGTCGACCATCCTTTCCTGTGTGTGCCTGTGCTCCAGTGACGGCAGGTAGGGACGCCCGACGGGAACCGGGCCATGCCGCCCCCCGGGGGCGTCAGAGGTGACAGAGGCGGGAGCTCATGGGGTCTAACAGGCAAAACGCGGGTGTCTGGGGTGCGCACCCCGAGTCCCCACCGGTCGGTGACGGGCCCGTGTCAACCTGCACGGGCCTCCATCTTCTCACAGGAAAATGCAGATGAGGCACACCAGCTTCACAAGGCTGTCGTGAGAACACAGCGAACGACATGCGTGACAGCACTCTGTCAACTTCAATTTACTGGGAAAAAACAAGAACAAAAACCCAGTGCCTGACCAGTCAGTGACTTGTTACCAGCTTGTTAGAACTGTTACCTGAGTTGATCGATTTTTGTGTAAAAACGTAAAGGACGAAGGACAAAAGTCAAAAATCCTCTTACCAGCTCAGATTCTAATCACCCTGAAAAAAACCTGATGAGAGGTATTAAAACTACTTCTACAACCTACACGTAAGCAGACACTTTCCTTACACACAAGCCGGACGGCTTTGGGTTCAGAAAAATGAAATTCGGGGAGACTACCACAGCACAGCACGAGCCCCCCGTGAAAACTGTAGGCACGCCTGCGGGTTTCCAACTCCAACGCCCGGACGGCGGAGTCTTTCTAACAGCTGGAAGGAGGATGCTGACGACAGCCAGTGCCCGCAGAGGGGGTGTTTCGTCTTAGCTGTGTGCTGGGCTCACGGCTGCCTGCGCCTCTACGTGACTCTGTCCCTCTCGGGTCACTCCAGGTCTCGGTGGTTGGCTTCAAAAGAATCCTGGCCAACAAACATTAGCTGTCATGTTGACAGTGTGACATCTTTGAAGGTCTTCCTACTTCTGCAGTTCGGTGCGTGCATCTCCACACGTGGGCCCACCCTCCCTTCTGCTGCTCCAGCCCAGCCCCAGGGCATGTGGACCCTCCCCTGTCCTGTTGTCACAGTTTTTATCTTCCTCTCTTCTGATCTATGTTTCCTCTCCCATCATGGCCTCAGAGGAGGTGAGTTAATAGGCTTGCGCCCCACTCTCTACAAAAACAGTTAAGACAAGGGACGAAGAGGCCTTCTGAACCTTCTGCCACGTTGCAAAGCCTGGAATGATGATCTTGGTATCTCTGGCGATTGGTTTCCTTCACCTCCGGTTTTGTCCTTATGAAATTCTGCTTAAGGTCAGAAGTTAGTTGATTCCTGTCTGTCATCAGAAAAAATACATCAAGGGGCACCTGGGTGGCTCAGCTGGTTAAGCGTCTGACTCTTGGTTTCAGCTCAGGTCACAATCTCACGGTTAACGGGTTCAAGCCCCGCTTTGGGCTCTGAGCTGACAACACGGAGCCTGCTTGTGATTCTTTCTTTCTCTCTCTCTCTCTCTCTCTGCCCCTCCCCTGCTTGCTCTCTCTCAAAATAAATAAACATAAAAACAAAACAAAACAAAATACACCAATTCGTGTGGCAACTACTGATTACATGTACTTGGTAAACACGCAATGGCCAAATGACAAAAGGAACTAGGGTCTACTAAACCCAGAAAGGCCACTACAGACAGCTGAAGCCCTCCCAATCTCCCAATCAAGCTAAAATATTCACTGAACTACTTTCTAACAACCCAAAAGAAAGAACAGCTCTGATGAAATCAAAACTTCAAATGAAAAGATCCCATCTGTGATGGACAGATTCCAAGATGGCCCCCAAGTGATGCCACCTCCTGGTGTTCACACCCCTGTGCTCCTCCTGAGTGTGGGTGGGACCTGTGACTCACTTCTAAACAGTGAAATACAGCAATGGTGGTTGGCTGTCACTTTCATGAACGACTACATAAGGTTCTAATTTCCATCTTGCTAGCAGATTCAATCTGTAGACTCTCTCCCTCACTGGCTTTGATGGAGCAAGCTGCCATGTTGTCAGCTGCTGCCCTATGGGGAATCCCATCTGGCAAAGAACTGAGGGAGGCCTCTGACTGGCAGCCAGCAAGGAATTAAAAGCCCTCGGTCCCAATGTCTGCAAAAACTCAAGCCTGCTAACAGCCATGTGAGTTGGAAGTGGACCCCAGTCAAATTTTCAGATGAGACCCAGCCCTGGCTGATACTTGAGAGAACTTCACGAGAGACCCTGAGGCAGAGGCCTCGGGCAAGCTGGGCTTTGACTCCTGACCCACAGAACTTGGGAAATTATAAATGTATGTTTTAAACTGCTAAACTGGGGCCCCTTATGGCTCAGTTGGTTAAGCATCCAACTCTTGATTTCAGCTCTGGTCATGATCTCATGGTCATGAGACTGAGCCCTGCGTCAGGCTCTGCACTGGGCATGGAGACTGCTTAAGACTCTCTCTCTCTGCCCCTCCCTAGCACTTTCTCTCTCAAAAAAATAAATAAAATAAAATAAAATAAAATAAAATAAAATAAAATAAAATAAAATAAAATAAAATAAAATAAAATAAAATAAAACTGCTAAATTTGCAGTAATTTGTTACACAGCAATAGAAAATTAATACACCATCCAAGCTCCAAATAAGGCAACGCTAGTAAGCACGTTTAACCACGTTTAACTTTTCCCCTATTAAAAGACAACTTACCATGTTGAGAATTTGCTAGTTTAAAAAGATAATTTAATGAAATATTATTTCCTCTCCTTGGCCTCTCCTCTAAGCCTTATTCCTTAGTTCCTTTGTGTTAAGACAGCATCAGAAGCCTTAACTTTTCTTTCTTTTTACGTAACAGATGGTAAACACTCAAAATTTCAAAACTTACATGTCTTGAGTTCAATCCCATCCAACCACAAACTGAAGACTTAAAAAGCCTTAAACAAAACAAAATAAAACCCTGGTATTTTCAAATAAGCTCCCTGATTTTCCTCACCTGGAATTCTAAAAAGCTGCATATTCACATCCTCAAACACATGAGCCAGTTTTTAAGACTCTTGCAAATAATCCTTTTCTACATTAAAAGCTTTAGCTGTTACAGCTTCGAAAAACTCCAGAACATTCTTACTTACATCCGGAAGTCTGTAGAGCTTCATTGTTCTCTGTAAAGTCATATTTCTACTCAAGTGAGAAAATTTCACTTCTACCAATTTTCTGGGGTTTAGCGATCGATGCCAGTATCTGGAATACAACGAAGGTTTTAAAATCTGATCGATTTTCTAACTCTACCAGCTTTTACCCTTTGTCTCAGCTCAGTCGTCATAGAGGCATTTAACGAACACCCTTGCTGCCCCCTGTGCAGTGTTGGATGCTGGCCCTGTTCTTGTATAATTAGCTTGGTTTTTTTACATCTAAAACATGTCCTGCTTTCCAGTTACATTCCTTTGTAGTTTGTGACCTTTCATCTCTGCCAGTAAAGGGCTATCATAAAACTGTAAGATAAAGTTAAAAATGCCCGGTCTGCAAGTATTTAACGACCACCGCTGATTCTACAGAAAGCAAACTAAGAAGTTCTAAAAACATAGGAAAACATCCCCTCTAAATTAGTAGCCGTTGCTTTCCTATAACGCACATCAAAGAAAACAACTTTCTGAGAAACGACCTTGAGTTTCTTAAGTGATTCCAGTTTAGACAGACGATTTGTATTAAGATCTACCTGTGAAGTACATAACTAATTGAATGGGAGACAAGTCATTTTATAGTTTCACATTTTTTACTGTTTAGTGGAAACTTCATCTTATTTGAGTCAAAAACAGTCAAGGGAGAGAAACTCCTTCCGATGCTTCACAAACAGGTTAGTCAAGGGAGAAATCTGATAAACCATTTTCTCCCTGGATTAACCTCTGAAAGCGTGATGAGAACAGATGAACTCCTACAAAGAGCTTAAGCTCTTCCTGCTCTTAGCAAGCAAGTCTGTTTGGGCTTCTCAACTGGTGTTTACCAAACTTTTGGAACAGTTCCTGAGAGCAGTGCAGAACAACGCGTAAATCTAAGCGTTTGGAAGGAAGAAAAATGGTAGTACTCTGGACATTTGAATTTCAAGACCACGGTGCCCTGGGCTCCCCAAGGTAGGGGCAGCACTAGTCTTTCCAACAGAAGAGACGCAGGAATACAGAACCGGCACTGTTAGCAGGAAAATGTTTTTTAACGTTTAACTCTTTTTATCGCCAAGTGGCTGTATGGTAGAATGGAAAGAACACTGGTCTCAGTGGTGCTTGGGTCTGGTCTCCACCTCTGCTACCAAACCAGCTACAAAAGAACAGGTAAAAGGCAAAGTTTCCCAGTTACATGTGAGAATACTACTGGTAGCCACATGGCGGGGAGGCAAGATTCAAGGTGAGCGTGTGGCACTGTTACCTGCATGTGGCCACTGGCTTGGGAAGAACCACTCCAGCGGTATAAACGGCCTGAAAAATACCTTCCAGGTTTACTCTTCTGGTTATTTCTCGAATTAACACTGGGGCTACCCGCTTTGATCTCAATTTCTTATGAACACAAAGAAAGTTGATTTCTACCATCTTCTTCACACTAAGAAAGATGTCAAAAAGTAGAGCAAACATAAGACGAAAACGTTTTTAAAAACAAGACAACTCCCATAAAATTGCAAAGAATAAGAAACCGAGAGACCTCCTTCAACAGAATATTAAAGAAAAACAGCCCATCGTTTAGACATTTCACAAACTCCGATGGATACGCTATTCCCCATATGTCCCCTGCCAAAATAACTATCACTATAGGCCATGGAGACCCAGACCCCCTTGTCCTGAAGACACTTGAGGACTTTGGTCTTTTGTAAGTTTTCACTTTAGAAAGTGGATAAGATGTACCTCCAAGTTTCTACATCTGTTTTTCCTGTAATGTATGCAATGAGGACAAGAACGGGGTCACCCAGATGCAGAATCTGGTAAGATGTTGCACTGGAATCTAATGCAATTCCTAGGTCCCCAACAGGTACCTTGGCCAGACAGAAGCCGGTAATTTTCTGAGCTACGGTAAACCTTTCAGGGCTTCAAAGCCCATTTCCTGCGCTGGTTCTAGATACACGGGCATTTCATTTGGCACCAAGATACCTTGACATCAAAAGTTTTTGAGCAGCAAATCAAGTAACCCAGTACAATGAAAGGTAAACAGACCTGTTATGGATTAGCTCTCTGACTTTCTGGGCTAAAGACCGGAGCAAAAACACAACATAGTTATCCAATGGATAAAAAGATTTTTTAAAAATCTCTCCTAAAATTAAGATAATTTTTTTTTCTCTAGAAATAAGTATGAAATATCTATTTATATCTTTATTCAGACACACACATAAAACATCTGAGTGTGTGGGGTGCCTGGGTGGCTCAGTCGGTTAAGCATCTGACTTTGGGTCAGGGCATGATCTTGAGGTTCTCAAATTTGAGCCCTGCATCAGGTTCTGTGCTGACAGTTCAGCACCTGAAGTCTGCTTTAGGATCTGTGACTCCCTCTCTCGGCCCCTCCCCTACTCAAACTCTCTCAAAAAATAAATGTTATAAAAAAAAATTAAAAACAAAAAAAATAACATCAGAGTGTCTGCATGTATGAGACTGAGAGGCAGAGACACAGAGCTGCCCTTTTTTTGTTGTTCACGGTCCAGTTTTCTTTGATTAAATCAACTTTATCTTTTTGAGCAGTTCTAGGTTGGGCAAAACTGAGCAGAAAGCAGAGTTCCCGTAACCCCCTGCCCCCCACCGTAAACAATCTGCAGGAGTAATTTTAAAAGCCCGTTGGAACTGCAATTCTGGAAGAGTAACACATCAAAACTGACACGGACGAGCTTTAATACGTACCTGTCATAAATCCGAATGTTTGCCGGGATGGCACTGATGAACCCCACTAGCTTTTTGTTCGAAGACACTCTGACCCCACAGTGCCACTGAAGGAGCCAGCCTGGGGGACGCAGAGCCCTGAAGTCCATGCAGGCAAGGGAGACAGGCGCCGGTTAGTGTCCCGGGACCCGGGGAGAGACGGAGCCACGCGGTCCCGACCGCCCGCGCCCGGGGCCGCCCCTCGTGGCGCCAGCGACACTCACCAGAGCAGGAACTCGGGCGAGTAGTCGAACCGGAACATGCTCTCCTCGTCTTCCACGTAATTCTCATTTAACAGCGTGTACAACTCCTTGAGCTGCAAGATCAAGCAAGCGTCCTTTCTATGGTGCTCGGAACCAACTCGGAAGCAATTTGTGCGAAGGCAGGTGCTGAACGGAAGGCCTGTACTCACCACGTCGGCATTACCCAGATCTAAAGTGTCCCACATGAAACCCTGCGGCAGGGAATACGGCTCCCGACGCACGTTGTCCTTATCCGCTTCGATGGCACCGTGCGAGGTTATCACTTCATCTGGAGAGGGACACAGAGAGAGAAAGGCAGAAGGACAGAATATTCAACGACAAAGTATTCGGATGACCCAAAATGGTCCATTCCGTAAAACGACACCATTTTTAGGGGTCTGGGGTGGAATATAATCTTTGAAACCATGCTACCGTTTCAGCCACTTCTGGAGTGACAACAGGGCAGCTGGGTAGTGGAGAGGGGCTGCTATCTCACCAATTAAATAAAAGGAGAAATCCTTTGTCATGCAGTGACAAGGTGTTTATTACGAAATGACAGGGACTTCTGAGCCTCAACCCCCAGATTACAGAGCCCCCACACAGCACAGCTCGGAGTCGGTGTCCTCTTGCTCTGCATTTCAAAAACCTGGTTGTGGGGGAGGGAAGGGCTGCAGTGACCTCTGACCCCTCCCAGCAAAATCTACAACTAATTTCAGGACTGTTCACTGCTCTCCGCCTGGAATGTTGCCACTACAGCCAAGTCATAAACGTCGCTAGCGATTTCCACAAAGGCGCCCTTTCCAGGTTCCTTCCCCACGGCTTCCCAATGCAACTGGAAGAGAACCCGGGCTCTTCCTGTGGCTGACGTCCACCTGGCCGCCCACCTGGCCTGGCTCTCCAGATCCACCCTCAGGGACCACCCTCAGGCTCATGGCTCACGGCTTCCCTCCCTCTGCGCGGGAGGCCCTTCTCCTGCTCGCCACGTGGCTGGCAGCTTGAGTGTTTTCAGATAGAAGCTTACACATCGCTTTCCCCACAGCATCTTTCCTGACTAAAGCCTTTTCCTGCCTGGAGGATGCTCTCCCTCCACCCCCACCTGGCCACCACTTTTACCGTCCTTTCCCATCACTGTTTCCCCGGTACGTTGCCCACGGCGTTTAATAATGGACACGCAACAAATAACTGATAAATCTTACTCAGCTGTCAAAAAGAAAGAAACCTTGCCATCTGTGACAACACGGATGGACCCTGAAGGCATCATGGGAAGGGAAGTAAGTCAGAGAGAGAAAGACAAATACCGTATGATTTCACTTATATGTGGAACCTAAAAACCAAAAATTTCAACCAGACATACAGGACAGGTTGTCAAGGTGGGGTAAAAAAAGAAGGGAGGTCAAAGGTACAAACTTCCAGTTATAAAAACAAGTTCATTCTGGCGATGTCATGTACAGCCCGTGATTTATTTGGAAGTTGCTATGAGAGAAGATCTTAAAAGTTCTTACTATAAGAAAAAGAAAAACTGTAACTTTGTGTGGTAACGGATGGTAACCAGACCCGCTGTGGGGGTCATTTTACAATGTATGCAAACACCGTATCCTTATGTTGTACACCTGAAATTAAAACAATGCTATATGTCAATTATACTCCAATGAATAAATAAATAAACAGAACCGGAAGGAAAACAAGGTACAAATACCTGCTGAATTAATGACCCTCAGGTACAGGTTCTTGGCATCACCTTTTTAGGGGTGGAAGCCACAGGATCTGTACCAGCTACAAGGGGGTTCGTTTTCTCTTTCTAACCCCTGCCTTTGTCACATCCCTCTTTATATCTGCTCCACCAGCTCACCCCCCTATGAATACCTGAGGCTCCATCAAGCCAGTCTGAGTGGTCAGGTTCTCAGCTGCTCCCTTAGAGTCCCTCCAGGACCTCTGCTTAGAGTCAGGCTACAGGAGGCTTTCTTGTCCCCCAGGGCACTGACCTAAAAACCACCAACAGCTTGCCAAGCAGCACTCAGCTAAACCCAAAACATTCAGTCAATAGACCTACACTGCTTTAGCTAACGGTCCCTCGATTCAATGGCATTTAAAATCCTGTAAATTCATGCTAGAGTCTCCCTCCACTACCAAATACATTTATTTCTAGAGCCTGAAAGAAAAGACCAGTGAGGATAACTGCTCTCTTCTATCTTTCACACTCCAAATCCCATGCTTTTTAACATGTGTGGCTGCGAGATGAGCGGTAACTTTAAAAAGTGTGAAAACCACTATTTGAAGGCACAGACGATTGTTCCCTGATTTTTATACGACAAAACTGGTTATTTGTACGTAAGCGAACTATTATGAGATCTGGATGACACGTAACCCTTTACCTCACACAGATGCTGGAAGCTGAACAATCAAGAAGGAAAAACACAGAAATAATTATCATCTATCTTCATATGAGGATAACAGTAAGCAGTGGGTTTAGCTTTTAATGCAGTTAAAACAATTTTAGTGCATTTACATCATCACCCTTTTTACTGTGAAAAAGAGAACACTTCAAATGATGTTTATGGACATGTAACAGGAGAAAGAGCGATGCCCGCTGCCCGAGGGGCCCCCAGAGACCGCCCAATGGCCCCGTCCCCTCGCTGTGCTGCCATGTTCTCCCGCCGCTAACAATTAACACCAGTGGTGAGTGTGCAGAATCCTCTTAAGAGGCATAACATTTTCCATTTCAATTAGGTTTAATAGGACAAATTTCCTGTGTCTTTTGGAATAACTGAGATGTGAGACGGCTAAAAATTTATGTACAGGGAAAACTCTTCCGTGAAGCTTAAAACCAAAACTGGTTCTGAGACTGTCTTTTATATATATATATATA